TATCTCTTTTGGGGTTTTTTTTTGTTGGTTTTTTTTTTTTTCTTTTTTTCTCCCCGCTCCGTGGCATGCTTTGGTGTGTTTTGTACAGAGGAAAACAAAAATTTAATTAATAATAATAATAATAATACAAAGCCAAAGGCCGTAAATGGTCTTTGGCTGCGTCGTGTCGTGGGGGTGTTTGGTTTGTGCTCCGTGTCTATCGCTTGGGTTAGTTCAGCGCTGTGATTTCTAAACCTTTGCTGTTCCGCAACTGACTTTTTTTGTACTTTTACCCCACTTTTTTTGAAATACAAGTAAAAACAAAAAAAAAAAAGGAAGATCTTGAAATAAAACATTTTTTTTTTTTTAAAGTTAAGCCTCTTGCCGGTGCCTGCGATCTCCCGACTCTGACAGACCAGGTCCTTCGTCCCTGCTCCCCCAGCGTCCCATCTGAGCATCACCCTGGGAGGGGGGGGTGGTGGGTACCCGGTCCCCCCTCCTTGCCCTCCTGGGGCACCTCCCCGGCTCTGCTAGTCCAGGAGTGCACCGCATCCCACCGGAGCGGGGACCCCATGGGGTGCTGCCATCCCGGAGCCACTGGGGTGCAGCTGGGACACCCCGGGATGTTTGGCTGAGGTTCCTGGGTTGCACCCTGCTCCATCCCTGTCCCCATCGTGGGGGTCCCCCCGCTTTGGGGGTGTAGCCATCACTGACAGCATGCTCCTGGCCACCTTCTCCCCAAACAGCCTCCTTTCGATGGGATGTCAGGGGGATTTTGGGGTCTGCAGCCGAAACGCCCCGGGGTTGTCACCTCCCAGCTCCTCGTTTCCATCCAGCACAACCCCTGGCAGCTTTGGCGATGCTGTCCCGGCTTCTGCCAGTGTAAATCAGAAGCAGCCCCCCACCCCGTGTTGCCATCGTCCCGTCCTGGGCCCAAGGTGGAGGGGGGGTTTCTCTCCCTGGGGAACCCCAACACTCTCCCCGCCCTCCCCTCCGGCCGCAGCTCCGTCTCGCTTCCCGCAGGAGCCCATTTCATCTTCGGGAGATGGATTCACCCATGAGCCAAAACTCATGGCTCCTCGGGAGAGAGGAAACGAAGCAATTAATCAACATACAATATTAAGCGTGCCACGCATGAGGGATGCAGCCGGCGATCTCCCCAGGGCAGGTAGGAGCTAAAGCCACAGCTCAGCGTGTTTTAGAAGTTGCCGATGTTTTCCATGAGCTGCTGAATAACTACGTCTCAGCTCACTCGGGCAGATTAAAAAATGAGGGGTGGTGGTGGGAGCCAGCAGATGATCTTGGGGAGTCACGCAAAGCGGAGGGAGCAGTTGGCCGGCACCAGCGTGGCTTCGGTTTTTGCTGTTGCCCTTCCAGCATGGAGCTGTACGACAGGTAAAATCATGGATAAAGTACCGGGGCAGCACGGACAC